CTAGCTTTATGTGTTCTATTTTTTAGTACTCTCTCTCTCTCTCTCTCTCTCTCTCTGTTTTACATATAAATTCCATTTTTTAATACTATTTGTTAACTTGCATGTGTAGGCGTGACTCTACTTGATTATGGTGTCGGGAATGTTCAAAGTATTAAAAATGCAATCCGATATCTGGGTCTCGATATCAAAGATGTAAGTTCTTTTGATCTTATTTCCGCAATGGTGAATATAAACAATTAACAACGCCATAATACATCTTGTCCAGGTTGAAACACCGGAAGACATTGTGAATGCAAATCGTATTATTGTTCCTAGGGTTGGAGCATTTGCTGCAATGATGGACAACGGGTAAGATTTACACATCATATTTACAATGTTTTTTCATCCATTAACAAACAAAATTAAGATTTATTTGAGAGATTCAGCAGTTAGAGGTGAGTTTCCTCAGTGTGTTTAACGGGTCGAAGGCACCAATGTCGGCCCATGGTGAGTTTCCCATGGAGATTCTCCGGACTAGCAGACCGAGATTTATTTGAGAGATTCAGCAGCTAGAGCCTAGAGGTGAGTTTTCTCACTGTGTTTAGTGGGTCAAAGGCACCAACATCGGCCCATGATTTATTATAATTAGGATGCTAGTTGTCTGTGTGACTCTTGCATGTAAGATATTGATATGTATATCGGGCATGGCCCGATGACTATCATGTATGTTATTTATCTTTGCGATTATTGCATGTGTTTATATGTATATCGGGTGGGCCCCGATGCCAAGCAGGGCCTAATGATTGCCAGATTTGTTCTGAGCGGGGACCGGTGTCGGGCAATGCCCATTATATGTTCGATATGTATAGTATGTGATATTTGAGTGAACTCACTAATTTTCGTGATTACTATTTTTAGTTTTTGTTTCAGGTACTTCTGGTTTCAAAGGAAAGAGTTCGGGATGACTGCATTATACACACCACGTTGTTCCCGTTTTCTATGAATCTGATGTACTTGGATATTAGTTGACACACTCTATTTTTCACTATGGTTTTATGATATTGATTAGGTGATGGTTTATTTAATATAAAAATCGAAGTTTTTGGTCTAAATTTTTGGAATGTTACAGGTTTGACCAGGTCAAATGCAAATCCCTACTTTATAGCCACCAGCCTTTGATAATTTCTTTCAATTACCGGTATAGTCAGTTAAGTTGATGGCTTTTGATTTTTTTCATTGATGTTTACATAAAAGCCATTATATTTTGGTCATTTTTCCAGTTTAACCACCATAAATTAGTTTATTTCACTAAATTCATCAAACTTTGATTTTTTTTTTATTGCAACATTTTGACCTATATATGGTATCACATAATATATTTTTTCCGATATTACATGTTTTATGTTGGATGGCATTTCATTTGCAATGTTGTGTATACGAAATCGTTTTCGTGATATCTATTGACAGGGTTAGACTCCCCTTCCGCTCTTGATCGATCTAGTGTAAAGAAACATATGATCGACATGCCTTCTTCGGCTTTTGGATCCAATTTTTGAGTTTATAACTTCGGATTAGATCAAAATATAGAGTGTGAATTGCAATTCTATTTACGATCGCATAAATAAAGGAACAAACTTAATATGCAAATTTTTTAATAGTTATGTCCTAATTCTAAAAAAATAACCGGAAAGAGAATTAAGACATGGTGATCCATTGTCCACGTTTTTGTTCATCCTTGGCTCCTTGCTATGGAAGGTCTCCACATTGTTGTTGAGGATACGATCGCAGTTGGTCTTTATCGTGGTCTAAAGGTTGGTAATACAAATCACATGGTCTCACACCTTTTTTAGACATATGATAGTGTTGTTGTTAGGTGAGTGATAGATTCATAATATAGGCAATATGGTCATGATTTTAGGGTGTTTTTACCTGGCTGCATGATTAAAATTAAACTTGCAAAAATCTAATATGTATGGAGTTGGTTGGATCATAGAGTGGTTGAGTAGTGTGCGTTACTCACCGGGTGCAATGTTGATAAGTTTGGATCCATGTAGGTCTAAGAATGGATACAATTTCTGGGTGGAAGCCGATTACACAAAGATTTCAAGATAGGTTGTCTAGATGGAAAGCGAAATTATTATCGATTGGAGTCGTTGTATGTTGTTGAGTTCAGTTTTTGGAAATAAAATATGGTATCAATAATCTATACACATTTTATTCATTAGCTAGAATTATGTTTTATCTTAAACTATAAACTTCAAATATTTGGGATTCTATGTAAATCATAAACTTTTGGAGGAACAATGTCTCCTAATTCCTACCTATACACATGTGAAAGGACCCATTTTAATTTTGTAGCCCTAAAAGTCAAACTAGCCTACCCTACAATTTTATTGTTCAACATTAGTGTGTACGTATAGGTGTACCCGAACATGGACCATGCATAAAATAAAATGCTTAAAACGACAGCATATCATACAAAGGTGAAACATGAAACCTGATATAAAACATTTGGATGGATACAAACCAAAAAGCCAATGAGGACAAAAGAAAAATGTGGCCACAAAACAAGAAAAAGTAAGTAGTGAAAGGAACCCCACCCAAATGGGTGAATGTTATTGAGGAAGCCAAGAAAGCAAGACCTAATTTTCTTTTTGTCTCCACTAATTTACAAAGAGTATTCAATTACTAATTATGTTTTTCTTTTTCTTTCTTTCTTGATAATTTTATTTTAAAAATATAATGAACTAACTACTCTTATGTGAATGTTGTCGTTTGCTCATCAAAACTAAAAAGTACGAAAGTGTACATCGATAAATCTCCAGCTGGAGCATACATACAACAAAATCAAGATTGATAACATTAAATTGGGTCTGAATTTTTTTTCTTTCTAATGAAACAATATAGTTTATATCAAACCCGGTCCTCACAGTTTAGAAGGCTTGTAAAAATCAAAGTGAGGCCTTATAAAAATTTATTGTAAAATACTATTAAATAAATTTGTTTCCGTTAAATGCAAAATTGAAAGTTGATAACAAACATCTTGTAAATTCATTACCACAACATCATGTATTTACTCATTAGTAAATTGGAACTATTACAAACAATTCTAAAAGTACATATATAAAGACAATTCATTACTATTTCGAAACATCGACCATTTTGCTAATAATTTTAAAAGCAAATTCATCTACTACACTTTTGATTATCAATATTCTCAATAAACTTGTTTTCAATCAAAATCAAAGTCAAAGAGTTTAATCTATCTTGAGACATGATCGATTGCAAATAAGATTTTAAAAGTTTTAGTCTTTAAATGTTTCTTACCGTTGATGTAATTGTAATAGGAATAGTCAATAAAAATATATTCTAGACAAGAAACTTGATAAGTTTTTATCATTTTTAAGAAATTTAGTATTTTGTTAACTCTATTATTTTCAATTGAAAAATGTTTTTGTAACAATTTCAGTTCTTTGAATAAACCATCAACACTGATGTCTAAGATATGGCTATTTTGCAACCTATTTTTTAATTTTTTTGCAACTTGCCTTGAACTCATTGATATTTAATGACTTCATTTTTTTTGTAAATAAAAAGCCAAAATATTCACTCTAATAAATCAATAGATTGATCAAACTATATACACAAAATATTGATCCTAAATAACTCTGGAGGTGAAAGTTCATTTACGCATTTTGATGAGCCAACAGCGTCAAATTTTTATTTTTTTTAAATTCTTCTTTTAATATTTTTCTTAACAAACAATGGATAAATTCCCAAATAGAAGCAATACCTTTCACACAATCTAAATACTTCTCAAAACAATATACTTAAGTTGAATTTTACAAGAATAGCAACATCATAATTATATATTTATCCCATAATTTAGAGGGCCCCTAAAATCGGAGGCCGCATGCAACAACCTCTCACACATTCCTAGGGCCACCACTGGTTTATATAATGAAATTACAAGCCTTTTTAAACGAATGAGAATCACCTTTCATATCATCTTATATAGATCACCTCATCCAAATCTAATTTTACGAAAGACTTTGATAAAAAAAAATTTTATCTAAAATAAACATTGTTATCTTTTGTCCAACTTTTCAATTTGGTAAGCTTTTCAGTTATTTTTACTAAGCATGATAAAGTTGGACATAGCCTTGATGATTTACTATGAATGCATAATCTAAAAGCATCCATGACAATGAAGATTTTTCCTTTTCTTTTTTTTCATCTAAACAATCCAAATAAACCCATGGTATTAGCAACCGCATATACTTAACTTATTTTATTTATTTTTATTTTTATTTATTTTTATTTCTTTATAAAACTATTACATGTTCTATATCTAAATGTTATGAAATTTCAAGCTTTTAATATATTTTTATACATGTTTAATGAAAATAAAAATATATGAAACAAAATAAAAGTGAAAAGTATATTTTAATAAAAAATTAAAATAAAAGAAGTTAAATAATATGGAGAGCTTATTTTTTTAAAAAAAAATGATATTTCTAACTTGTACAAGTCAATGTGTATTAAATAAGAACGTCTTAAAAAGAGTGATCTGTAACTCGTTCCAAAAAAGTACTACCTTTTTTTATCAGAAACATCACTGTTTTGACATCTTTCGCACTCGGCTACAGCTAATAACGACATAAGTATTTCATGCGTTTATTTATAATTTTATATACCATTTTCTAGTTCAATTCCATTCTCTATTCGTGGCTTTCGTTTCTCAAGTCAAAAAGAAACCAGAATTTGTTAATCTCCACGCACTAGAAAAAAAAAATCTAAAAAATAAAACATAAAACCAAATTAATCTCAACATATCATTAATACGCAACATAATTCTGTAAATGAACCAAACAAACATGAACAAGCACCTCTTTATAAAATAAAATAAAATAAGTTAAAACAAATACAAAACAACTTTTTGAAAGGTTTATGTTCTCCATTTGATTTACACACATCCTCGCATCTTTTCTAAAATGCAACAAAATTGATATCAATGTTCACTACCATACTTTCATGCAAGAGGATGTATAAAACCTAATGACGTTCATTAAATATAAATGATTAGGAAAACTAATTCATTTATATATATACCTTTTCTATAATCAATATGAACCTTGGATTAACAGGTTAAATTCACCTTCTTAATGATATTCGGTTGCTCTTTGGATAGTTCTGCACAGTATAACAAACCAAATAATATGATATAAGCTTGATTTATTATTTTTTATAATCATATGACAAAAGCATGTGTATGTACCTTAATTAGTTTGACTTTAGTAAGGACCTCATTTAAATTTCAAAATGCAATATCTGAGGGAAAAACAAAAGGTACAGAGACCACATGTGATTTTCATTTTTCAAGCTGTTATCCTTATTGCACCAAATCTGTCCATCTTATGCTACAAAAATATCAAGATTGAGGTAAAGAGAATATAAAAAAGATAAATGAAAAAAAAAAAACGCAAATTTGAAGCGAAAAAAGTTGATCAAATTCACCTTACTGTTCTTGTGCCTGTGAATGCCATTGAGGTCCTCATCTCCATCATGCTTCCTTTTCTGAAACCATTAAAAAATGATAGTATTTTTACTAAAAGTCTTGAAAAAGAAAAAGAATTAGAAGATAATAACAGCATCTATTCTAACCTTCTCATTGGGTTTCTTCAAGTTTTCAGCACCAAAATCATGATGTTTACTTCGATGTTTGTGTTTTTTATGCTCTTTATTCTTGTCCTTGTGTTTTTTATGCTTCTTTTCTTTGTCCTTAGATTCACTTTTAGATATTCCAACTTGGGTAGGAATCCCCTTTTCTGACTATAAAACAAAAAAAGATATGATATTATTGAAAATGAGAAGTTACATATACATTAATGATTAATCTAAATAAGTAACACTAAAATCACATTGCTTACAGGTGGCAAGTCAATAGGAAAAGTTTCCCTCAAGTAAAAGGCATCCCTGAGGGCGTTCAGGTCAAATGGTTGGATGCGTGTATTTGTGACTCTTGACTTTGAGAAGGATGAATTTTCATTTTCAATGAGCTGATTCAATTCCATTCCTTCACCTTTCCGAATCACTGTGTCTCCAACAACATTACGAAGGTGATGTGCATCTGAAATGGATAAAGGAAGCGACTTCTTGCAGAAAAGCTCATAATGAGGAAATAATTTGTAGTAATTTATAAGATCCACACCACCCGTAAGTTCCTTTGGACCTAGATTGTGAATACCATAAAACAGATGGTTATTTTTGGAATAAAAGATTAGAAAAAAAACGAGTCTTTTTGAACTAGCTATAGCATAGGATAAAAGTGAAACCACTCAGAATCTTTTTGTAAAGAAAAAAGGAAGTGCAAGATGAAGAATAAGATCAGAAGAAATCTTGGCAAGATTCCCACTTTATGTATTAATGGAATGTAATAAATCTAAGAAACACCACTGAATGACAAAGCTTGTGATTGTTAGGTCATATAAGCAGGCAGTGGCAAAAATAAGTTATGCTATGCAATCACGTGGCCTTAGGTATAAATATGTTAGATTGATAATTGAGCACAAATCTTATAAGATAAATCCAACAAAAAGAGTACATGTTTATTGCACAAAGTGCAAAAAGTTTAACTTACCTCTTCCAAACCTCTTGCTTTCAGGATCCATCAGTCAGTATCTCAGACAAGCATATACCATTATCACCTGAGATTTTATCGTAAGAATCATAAATTGTTCAAAGAGACTTCTACATCTTCTCTTAAAGATGCACACAATCATTGTTTTACTCATCAACGAATACCTAGGAAGTGCATGAACATATGAGCATACTGAGGGCTTGGATTTTGGCATTTTAAGAAATATAGCAACTTGAGTTCAGTTTGTGCGCATATGTGTGTGTGTCTATACATAGAACACATGATTTGTTAAACCAAAACTGAAAGAAAATAACTAAACAAACAAAAGGAATAATGGGCATATAAAGTCCACTACTCGGTTAAGGAAATAAAAATAACCATAACAAAAAATAAGTCAAAACCTTTATCAAATCGATTCGGTTTACTGAAACATCATTGTTTCACTACCTACAATACATAAATAAAAAAAAATCCTTTTAATTTGGGTTATCAATCAGATGAGTATGGGTTGCAAAATTTACAACTTAACTGATACTTGCTACAATACTTATCATATAAAAAATAACAACCAACATAAATACATGATGATAACTTGCTCAAAGCTATATACTGAATCCTAATTAAACCCCTATTATCTTGTGCATGTCAACCAACCTCCAAAGAATCAAATTCTTGAAAATCAAAACTATCATTCGATTCAACTGTCATTCAAACCAGATAACGATAAAAACAAGTACTTTTCGAATGTCAACCAGATCTTCATTCGTATTCTACCCTAAATACCACACTAAACAGCACTACACTTACTATATATTAAGCTCTATTGCCCTAGCTTAGCACAAGATCCAGCCTCAAATCTTCTGAACACTTTTTATAATCGAAAAGTCAATTACTCAATCTATAGCCCCAATAACTACACACGTTCTTAAATTTCTTTGCATCGCCTTACAATGCGAGGAGCTTACTATACCTGTTACAATAGATATTATCGGAACTCAAAGTCGACTAATTTCTCAGCCAATTTAACAAAATCGAGTGACTAATTACGATAATTGACGAAATCAAGCGGTGATTCTTCGGGTGTGTCGTCGGTTTCCTCTTCAACCCAAATAAACCCTAACACCGTTAAGGGGGGCTAGAAGAGTTGAAACTGGATTCTCGTATGAATTTATATAGTTGGACATAATTGCCCTCGATCCAACACTAGTTCAAAGGGTAGTTCCTGTCATTTTTATAAGCATGGGCCATGGATGAAAGTGGATGAAAGTGGGTCTAAACCCGGCACGGATAGACCTCGACCGGAAAAACATTGAACCGGTTAACGGGATTTTGTTGGACTGGAAAGCAGACCGAATTTTGTTTCGGGTACGGTACGAGGTAAAGTGGATCTAAAACCCAAAAACATCAAAGTGAGGGAGGTGGAACCGCATAATTTAGTTTAAAATAAGGGAAACTGAAACTTTTTGGTAATTACCTGTTAGTTACTTAGTGGATTGAACTTTGAAATTTTTCATATTGTAATCATGTAAAAACTATAAACTACATTTTAGAAAAAAAAAAAAATTGTATGTCAATCCGACTTTAAACGAATGAGATGTGTATGTTTTAATATTTTTCACAAAATACAAAGTACAAAAACAAATAACTGAAAAAGTTGAAAATTTTCAGTTTTGATATCCCAACTTCATGGGATTATAATTCATTGAATATTAACCCAAAAATAACAACATTATAGTATAAACTCATATACAAACTCTAAATTACAAGTTCGAAAAACACTTCACGTCAATCCGGTTTCAAACAAATTAGACATGCATATTTTTAAATTTTCATATAATAAAAAAAAATTGAAAAACTAAAAACTTTAAGCTTTGGTATCTCGATTTTGGAGTATTGTAAGTCAATAAATATAAAATTAAAAATGACAAATTTATAATCTAAAATCATGTACAACCTCGGAACTACATGTTATAAAAAACATTATGTCAATCCAACTTGAAACAAATGAGATATCTATATTTTAAACTTTTCATAGAAATCGGTTACGGTCCCTAAAAGTGGTTTCGGTTCTTAAACCGAGATTGCTCGAAACCCAACTAAAATCATTTTTTAAACACGAAACCGAAACCGATTATATATATTCTGGTTCTAACGGTTCCAGTTCTAGTCTAATTTTGGTTATGATCCGGTTTTTCGGTTTTAAATCTCATCCCAAGTCTGGGCCACCAAAGAGTTGCCGCATGTCTCTACATTTTAAGGTGGTCCTAATTTTTTGTAAAACAATTTTTTCAAGAGAACTTAAAGGTTATGTTTGGCACATCTAAACTACTTTTTCGAGTCCATTAAATCCAACTCTTAAACTACCTTTTTGTTCATAAGGTTGGTAGGAGTGATATCACACTTGTCACTTGTCAGGGTCCACGTAGACGTCACATCAGATTTGTTATACTGTAGCAAAAACTAATCATTTACACGGGACGGGTTGTCATGCAATTTTTTTAATATTTAATTTACATAAAGAAATCAATATAAACAAATTATTTTAATAAAAACGTAAATTTCATTAACTTGAACGGAAATCACATACTTAAAATTAAAAACATAACACAATTGTGATTAAACTAGCACACAACATCACTAGAAATTGAAACACACGAAGCACTAGATATTAGAAGACAAGAACTTAAATTTGACGCCGTTGAGGGGACCGTCTTACAATTTGTCAAAACTCAACATACCGGAAAAGTTTGGTGGTTTATTCACGGAAAATCTAGAGAGCATTCACAAAGAAAGTATTTTCATATTCACATTGCTCGGCTTCACCCATCATCTTTTGAAACAATTGTTAAAATGAACTGAAACTGTGTTTATATGTCTTAATTTGGAGAAGAGTTGATCTTTACTTCGAGATATAGCGGTTTTCCAGTTCAATCTTTTGGCGGCTCTACTCAAGAAAGTAGTCGCATTGACGTTAATGTTGATTGCGTCTTCGGTTACATCAACCCATGAACCATTTTTTAACGATATCTTCATCGGTTAACCACACACAAACTATTTTTTAACGATTAGATTATGAAGAAAATGGAAAATAAGAAAGTTATGAGAATTAAATTAAAAAGATTTAAATGCGATGAAGAATGAAGAAGGATAGTAATATTTATAGTTAAGGATTGAGGGTTTAAATTTTAAATTTTTGAAGAAAAAAAAAAGGTTATAATTTTGAAAAGGTTTTTTGTTTTGGAAAAGATGGTATTTTTTGAAAATGAAATTTTAATTAAATAGTAAAAGAAAAAAAAATAATGTCTTTCTCTCTCATCGCAAAAACTCACCGAGCTGCATCACCGAACCGAGGTCAACGAGGACCTATCCCGGTGTTTATCGAGTGGTGCCAAAGAGTGATGACCCCCACTCCGTCGAGCCTAATGAGACTTCATTTTCAAACATATTAGTATTGCTAGATCAGATACACTTTGGGAAGGTATCTGATAAGTTAGTTTAGTTTTTTGAGTTTTTTTCTAAAAAAATTTATGTTTAATAAACCAAAAAGTAACTGGTAACCTTATAAGTTAATTTTTATTTTTTTTTAAAACAGACTTTGAGTAGATTCTCAATAGCTTTTGGAAAATTTCTCGAATATACATTTAATTAATTATAAAAACCTATATTTTTTTAATGTCGTTTTATATTTTTTCAATTAGTTTTAATCAAACATTATTTTTTATCAACTAGTTTTTCAACTAGTATGCCAAGTATAACTTTAGACTAGTTTTAATCAAACATTATAACTTTAGACTAGTTTTTCATTAGTTTTTTTTTAATATTCTAAATATACATTTAATTAGTTATAGGAAACTTATTATCCAAAATATCTTTTTATGTTATTTTATACATTTCAACTAACTTATCAATTAATTTTTATCAAATGTCATTTTTTATCAACTAATTTATAAACTCACAACTATTTTTCAGCTAGTATGTCAAACATAACCAATATTTTTCGATTTTTTATTCTTGTCTTCTTATATATGTTGTGAATTGTGACGAGTATCACAATTTAATAAATTAATAGTATTATAAGATATTTGTTATTATTTCATATGGATAAAAAAAGTAAAGAATAAATCATTTCTTATCAATCAATTTATATAGGATAGTTTTAAATCTTCAGCACGATTGCACCGTGTGGGATTTATGGAAAATTTGTGTGTATATATATTATATAATGAATAATTTACAGTAAAGTTATCTATATGTAAAAATACAATTCTAGTTTGTAAAAATGAATTTTTACGTGCTTGTAAAACCATACGTGAAGTAAAACAAATATGTGAGAGTTAGAAAATTTGAAATAAATAAATAGCCGACTGTCGTAGGGAGTGAGGGTTTCACAGTGTGATGGATTGTTTTAAAAAGTATTTCATATAGAATGACAAAATAGCAGAAAATATACTTAGATATTAACACGTGTTTGTTCATGTTTGTTACTTTGGTTTTTTTCATTATATGTTGTAGAGTTCTTGAATAAAGTCAAATGTGTAGTTATGATTCTAAAAGTTATGCCGTAAGGTTTAAAAATTTAGCTTTGATATCCAGGAAATTGTTAACAATATAGTTTGTTGTTTATTTATCATCCATTTTAATGTAAATTTATTTTATAGTTATTTTTTTAATAAAAAGTCATAAATTTGTAAAAATAAAAAAGTATCTTTATAAACATGTATACAAATAAATATATAAATAATTGTATATAAAGGAATTTGTAAAATAATTAAGTTGTAAACTAAAATGCTAAAAAAAGTAAAACACAATTTAAAATAAGGCAGATTTTGTGTTGGTGGGCTGGACGTTTTTGTGTTGTGTGGGCCGAACTTTCTAAAGCATTCTACAAATTAAACATCTTATACGTTAAAATATGTAATTTTAGTCAACTTACAAGTTGTTAAAATATGTGATTTTAGTTGAATAATATGGGAACGATAGATCTAAGTTATGTTTTATTAACTAACTAGGCGACTCATGACGCGTAAAAAATGAATTAAATAATTGAACTTCTTATATGTTATTAAAAATAACTTATAAATATCTAGTTCATGACAAGACGTGTTCATCAAAACTAGCTGGTAGCGGATAGTTTGTAGCTTGTAGCATTTTGTTAAACGCTACATGAAGTAACTTTTAGATTTGAAACTTTTTGTTTAAACTAAACGTTATAAGTTTGTAGAATCAAATAATGTTTTCTGTTTAAAACATAACGTTTTTTCAAACGCTAGAAGCTAGAAGCTTCCAAACGCTTTGTACCGAACACGTCCGTTATATGATTTGAGAAGTAAAGACTATTTTCTATCATACAATTTGGACATCGCTTATGATTTGACCGATATTAAAATTTTAATTCAAAATGAAAACTATCGTTCAAGTAAAACTAATTTTCTTCTTACTCTAATATCAGTTTTTTTCGCATTACATTTTACATCAATATAAAAGTTAATTTACTAATGTACCCTTTAGTCATCTAAGGCTAGGAGTAAATTTGCCATAGAAATTTGAAAAAATCAAAATTTTCATCCCCAACTCTTTCTCAATTAATTTCGCGCTATCATATACTAATTCAAAATTTAAACACCCAAATCCCCTTAGGGGTTAATCCTAAGAGACAATACCTATAATGGAAACCCACCATCTTCTTCTTTTTCTCTATACTACAACACCAACAATCGCTCAATGTCGCTAACTTCCGACCCTGCTTTTTTATCTACTACAATCCAAATATTCTAAGAGGTATTTCATTCAATTAGTTCCAGGAAATCAATAACCAAACATGATTGCTCCTTTTTGTTTCAATTGACGAAGAAAATCCATGAGAAGTTATGATGTATTCATTATGTGCTTCAATTCAGGTTATCTTACATTCCCATCATTTATAATATGTTGATTTATTACTTTATATTTTATGTTGTAAATTATTAAATTTCGATTTACTTTGAGAATTTAAAAACATTGATGTTTATAGGCTTATCATAGTTGCAACAGATGATGTTTTAGGAGCAATAATTGGAAATTGAAACATCTTTAATTTATAGATCGACTTCAGAAATAGATGTTTATCGGATTTCTGCTCGGTCTCTCGATCTGTTGATTTCATCTAAATTAAAAACAATTCTCAATGTTGATGTAAGTTTCTAACAAATCCCTTGATACTTTTTTAAAAACCGAATTATTGCATCCATTTTCACTTTAATAGATTTAATTGTCAATTTGAGGTTTAAACGTTCTTAATTATTAAATGAGTGTTCTTAATTGGAGTGTATTTTGTTTACTAAAGACCTTAATTAATTCATTTGGTTTACTAATTTTGAAAAGTTATTTGGGGTATATTGAAGTTTATTTTTCATGCATAATTTTGGAATATATAGAAGTTGTTTGATGAAATATTTGAAAGAGATGTCAAACACATATTTGTAGTTTATAATGAATGAGGAAAACTTTGACATTTTCTTATTTTACAGGAATATTATGACTTATTTGAGGTAATTCTTTCGCCTCTAATATCACATTCATTTTAATTCTTCTTTATTACTTCAAAATAGGTTACAATTGTTTACCCTAACTATTGCATCATTGTAATAATGTTTAGCATGGAAACACGGGTGTTACAAGGGGTATTTGGGAGAGAGCTTAGAAAGGCGTGAAGAAATGAAGTGATTTGTGCTTCTATTTATAGGCTGAGTTCGATGCGAACGCTGGGCATTCCCTTGCTGAACGTTGGGAGTTCCCATGCCACGTGTCAACATCTGGTGGCAAGGTGTGGGAAAGAAACAGTGGCTCAGATTGTGTCACATGTCACTCGCTAGTCACTCTAAAAACTAATTATCTTTTAAAATTCGTAACTTCCGCATACGAGCTCCATTTTTGACATTCTTTATATTCACGTGTATGTATAGAAGGGATCTACAACTTTCGTTTAGACTTCGTCGGCTAATTTTAACTTAATTTTTAAAGTTATATTTTAACATACTTAAACAGTTAAAGTCCGTTAATTCATAACTTTTTCATCCAACGCCTGTTTTCGACTGTCTTTATATCGTTGAGCTCCTATTAACGAGATCTTCAATTCTTATTTAGGTTGTGTCAGCTAAAAGCGATTCATATAAAATTCAATTTCCGGGTTGTGCATTGCTATTCAAAATCTTAGAAAAAACATAACTTTCTCAAACGAAGTCAGATTTTACGTTCTTTTTGTGTACATTTTCGGTTTAACATATAATACGGATTTCATCTAGGTTACTAAGACTAAAAATTAGTTTATCAAAAAATTGACTTTTTATGATTATCGGCGTCGTGGTGGTTTAGTCGCGAAACTATGGGTCATAACTTTTTCGTTATAAGTCGGATTTCAGCGTTTCTTATTTCCCCAGTATCTTTATTATGACTACTTTAACTTTATTTAAAGATATTGGTTCAAATCTTTATTCTATTTTTGACACATATTAACATCCTACTATGTAAAATTGCCTCTTTTTGAGGATTTATTACATGGGGTGGAAACTAAAAAAACATTTTTATAGCATTATGCTTTCTGAAACCTATCATTATAGCGTCCTACATTGTAAATTTTTTTTTAAGATTTCGAACATGTACTGAAAAATAAATAAATAAAATCTTTATATATCATTCTATTTTCTGGAAACCGTGGAAAATAAATAATAAATATTTTCTGAATTTGTCAACCATATATTAAATATATTAAATGGGTTTTCATTTAATATTATACTCCATATATAGATAAAGTCACCTATAATAATTAATTAGTATTGATAATTAATTTAATATGCTATAATTTTATAACTAGATAGAGATTTTATTTTTCTTTTCGCCTATTCCACATTAATTATCATGATTATTTAAATGAAAATAAAAAATTGTCAAGGTTTCAAATACATAGGATGAAGGTAAAAATATATCTTTTATATCATAATATATAGATATAAGATATAAATATAAATAAATAGATATATAGTATATAGCTATAAATATAGGTATGAATAAATAGATAAATATCAATAAATAGATAGATAGTTATAGGTATAGATTAATAAATTTAAAAAATATAATATACATTTTAATTAAATAAAAAATAAATAGAATAGGTTAAATGTGTTCGCTAGGGAAATTGACTACATTGATAACGAGAAAAAGATTTTTGCAGTGATTAAAATATCAGATTGCGAATGCATCAACACTTGTACGTCAAATGCATCTACGCATCAGTACTTGTACAAAAGATAGATAACCCAAGTAAGCCCAAAAAACCGGTTGAAGTAACGTGACGCATCAAAACGGATCTTTATTTGATTTCATCGGAATAAACTTTTTTTCGTACTGTGTGCAATATAACTACCAACGACTGTCTTCGTCCTCTTCAGCTAGAATAGATTACCACAAAAATTAGGTCAAACGATAACTATGGCTTCACTTTCGATCGCCATGGTTCTTCAATTACTTTTGTTCGTCGCAGCGCTCTACGCCGTCGAAGTCAACGGATATAGTGGTGGTTACGGAGGAGCAGTAGAATTAGTATCGACAGTAGCTGAACAAAGGGAGTTTGATTACTACGCGTTGGCTGTCCAATGGCCTCCAACTTACTGTTCGAAATCCACTAAATGCTGTACTCAAAGCGCTTGTTGCCGAGGGTAATTAATCAACTATTCTTTCATCTACTGTCAGTCAGTTGAAAAAAAAAAATTATAAAGAACGAACAACGGTTTGACTTTCAAAAGAATGGTTAATTTTATGTTTGGTACTGTTGAGAATTCGAAAATTTTTGGTTCAATTGTTGTAGGAATATGATCTTATTTATACGGGTTCAATTGTTGTAGGAACTGGAAAACTTTTTCTGATTAAGATACATTTTTCCCTTTTCTATTGATTTTCACAAAAATTGCCTTCTGAATTTGAGAACCATGGAGATAAAAAAAAAAAAAAAACTTACTCCATACTACTTTCATATGTTTTTGCAGATCAAATTCTCCATCAGTATTCACAATCCGTAAGTTCTCTATACACTACTAAAGTCAGAATATAGCTTCACCATGTTAATTGTTGTTGTTGTTGGCTTGTAAGAGTCAAGCACATATATGTTGAGTACTTGGGTTATGGCAGGATGTAGTAAAAGTTCTTCCCCATATCTCTTGAAAGTTGAAACTCCCCTCTTTTGTGCTAGGCTCTATATTTTTCTATATACAATGAACAATGTGTAACCCTGTACCTGATTAATGTGTTATCCTGCAGATGGACTATGGCCAGATTACAATGATGGATCATGGCCATCATGCTGCTCAGGTCCTGCTTTTAATGAAACAGAGGTATTCTAACTATTTACTTAAAGTATTAAAATAATACGATAACTTCATCTCACTATGTATTGTTGTTGTTCCTACTGTAGATTTCTACATTGCGTGGTGTTTTGGAGAGATATTGGCCAACTCTAAGTTGCAGTAAATCATCAACATGCCATAACAAAAAAGGACTTTTTTGGGCTCATGAGGTGGATTTTAATTATCATCTTGTTCATTTTCACCAATTTATCATTACAAAAACTAGAAACTAACTAAAATTCCCATGTTTTCCTTTCATGCTCATTCAATGGGGTCTTGTTGATTTCAGTGGGGTAAGCATCTTTCAAAAATATACACTCAAAGACAAAAAATTAATTTGCTAACTAGAAATCAATTAATCCAAGCTTAATCTATAAATTTAGTTTCATCCATATGTCAGCCTTTTGTGGCATGATTGTCGTCTATTTGACTTTTCTAAAGTTGAGAAATGACATTATTTTTTTTACTCTTTTTCCTAATGGTTTACTGGATGAACTTTATTTGCAGAGAAACATGGTACCTGTTCCTCTCCGGTTACAGGCGCGGAGTATAACTATTTCTTGACAACCATCAATCTGTATTTTACATACAATGTCACAGTAAGTTTTTAAGGGAAATTACTGCATTGAAATTGGTAGATATTAATATAATAAAACAAGTTTTGTTTTTTTGTGGTTTTCAGGAAGTTCTTTTTGAAGCTGGATATGTACCTTCAAATTCAGAGAAGTATCCTGCAGGTGGCATCATTTCTGCCATTGAAAATGCTTTCCATACAACCCCACAGTTGATCTGCACAAAAGGTGCTTTGGAGGAAGTCCGTTTATGTTTAACCAAGGATTTCAAGGTTTGTCACTTTTTCCATTTAATGCATATTTTTTATGTAAAAGTTAACTTTCATCAATTTGCTTATTATAGCATCATACTTTCGTTTCTTCTTATTACAACAATATTCTAATTAGAACAAAAAGATTTGAAAAGTATAATGCTAGAATTGGATAGTTTTCTCAAAGTATACTGTGTCTTAAATAATAAATAACTAAATAATGTAGTAACTTGTAATAGAAAGAACTAAAAAAGCAGATTGTTGATTTTAATTTACTTGAATTCTTGCAGTTCCGAGACTGTGTAACAGGAAGTGATTGTCCTGAATATGTCAGCCTACCGGAATTCGCTTTCTCAGGTCTGCCTTTTGGTTATTTTGGTAATTTTACCTCCATTTTTTATTATTTTCACATTTTTTTACTTAATCCTGCCTTTTGGTTTTTCAACTTGTAGATGATCTAAATGGCACCAAGACTGCAGATCAATCATTTACTGGCCATGAATCCTTCTGAATTATTTGCCTGATGATGATGTTCTATTTTACCGTCGTAGAGTACCATTTCTATTTATCAATAAGTCAAGGCAAACGTGATACCATTTCTCTTTGTATCTTTAAAACATTATAACTTCCACATTTTAGGGTATTTATTTTTATTATTGTACCCCCATTAATGTATTGAATAGATGAAACTGAAGATACATTGATTCAAATACATACCATCTTATTCAAGGGTTGATATTGATTCATAGATACTAATACTATTGACAGTTTTTTAAAATAGACCTAAAAGATTCAATTACATTTATTACGGGGATAATGACTTAAAAGGATAATGTATTTTTCGATTTGTAAAATATTTAGTCACTAAGTTTTTTTATTTATTTATTTTTTTATTATTATTATTATTTTTTTTATATTTTATTTTTTGTCCATATTTTCCCATTAAAACTTGTTGAACCGTTTAAAAAACAAACTTATGACCTTCAATCGTAGATTCGTAGGTTTACCTGGTTTCCAGCATGTTTGACAACTCCGGCGATGCTCCGGTTATCTTCTCCGGCTGGACTCCGACTTTCATGATTTTTCCGGCGGTATGAAATGGAGTTCATACTAGAAATCAAGCTTTGAGATTTTTTGGTTTCAGTTTAATAACACAAAGTTGGTGCATTTGTTTTGAAATCACGGTGTTGTTCTAGATCTAATGTTCATCATTTTCAACCTCTTCATCGTCTTTATTAACAAATATTGAAAAGGTGTTCATTGAAGATGAACACACTCACATGTGGTGATTTTCCAAAATCGAGCTTGAATATGAACTCAAGTTAGGTTTTTCAAACCTAGAAATTGAGCTTGAAGATATGGGTTTGTGTTCTGATCTAGGTTCATTTTTCAATATGGTCCATGTTCTTTGTGTTCTGATCTAACAAACACACTCAAATCTGAAGCTCTTGTGTTCGTTGTGTTCTTCGTGTTCTGATCCAATACACACACACAATGAACAAACGATGAATCAGATAAAGATCTCAAGAACACGATGAACAAACACATCAGAAGCTCTTACATGTGTTCTTGAGTTTGAACAGAAGATGATGAAGAATTGATTTATGAGTTTGAGTTCTTGACTCTGAAAACCGATTGTCCATATGGTTTATGTTCGAAATTTGTTCAGATCTAAGAAAAAGACTGAATATAATAGACCCGAGTACTTGAGTTCGCCGAAAAAATCATGAACGCCAGAGATTTATCGAAAAAGATAATCAGAGCATCGTCGGAGTTGTCAAACACATTGGAAACCTGCTAAATCTCCTATAGCAGATCATAATGATGTTTTCTGAACAGTTCGTAAGAGTTGTAAAATAGAAACATTCATTATGTCGTGTCTTTCTTGCTATCTTCGTTTTTTTACCTGTTGTCCATCCCTCCCTTGCTGTCGATTTTTTTTCCTAGTTTTATTCTTCAATTGTGTTAACAATTGATGCATAAAGCTATGAGAGTTGTTTATCATTTAATTCTGTTATATGATTTTAGGATGCAATATGTTAAATCAAATGTTAAACTATAAGAACAGAAAACAAGATTAATTACCAAACTGAACCATACAAATGATTCACAATATTAAACCTGTAACCTAGATGTTAAAAGGAAGTCTTTTGATAATTTTACACGTATAAATATCTTTTTTTGCAGAACACTAAAAAATAGTTTATGTTTGACATCATATAAGCTTTGACAAACATCCTCTCTAACAAAAACTGATGTTATTTTCAGAATTTATTAATAATTTGTTGTTTAAACCAACCTTTTGAAAAATATAGTGTTTTTTTTAGTAATTGGCCTTAACAAACAGGACCAAAATTACAAAATAGAAACTTTTGGAAACCAAAATTTAAAATATATATAGTTATAAGATCGAAAATGTAATTTACTCCGAATAAAACTTAATATACATAAATTGCGCATTGGAATTTTTTTTATTTTTTTGGCAATTAACCCACGTTTGCTTTGCTAATTTGGAAAACGACTTACAAGTAGAGCATCCAAACCCTTGTTCTCCGTCTTCGTCTTTCTTCGTCCAATCCATCATATCAATCCTTTTCCGAGGTCAGAATTTCTTCTTTTCCGGTAGAGTGTGTGTGTATTGAGTCAATACAACACTGTTTCTCTTTCTTAATTGTTCATTTACTCCTCTTTTGATATTTTGATGAGGGTTTTACTAGGGTTTTATGTATATCTCATGGGTATTTTATGAATTACGAATTCTTTTCACCAAAATCAATCGAATTAAGATTAAAAGTTATAAGAAATGATTGTAAGCGATTACAGAAGATGTCTCTGCGATATCCAGGAAGAAACTGACTTGCTCAAATATTGTGTAATCCTACTCTCTGTAAGAGAAAGTGTTTTTTTATCTTTATGAAAATTTAAAGGACTCTGTTATAAGAAGGAATAGTTCTTTCCGGTTAAAAATAATGTCATCCAAAAGATTAAATTGTTAAGATGGTTAAGTTAGGGTTTGTAGTAATTGTTAAGTTTTCATCTAGGAGCTTGATGTAATTGTGATTCGGTATATTCAAATGACTGGTTTCTTGCATCCAATTTTATTATTAAATCAGTTTGAGAGGAGAAAGCAGAAGAGACAGAGATCAAAACAAAGAGGGGGTAGTTATGGGTTACGCTCAATTGGTAATTGGTCCTGCTGGAAGTGGAAAGGTAAGACACATAATTTTATTTAATCATAATATTTATAGATATTTGTCCAACAACTGATTATCTATTGCCACTTTCAGTCTACTTATTGCTCAAGTTTGTTCCAACACTGTGAAACTACTGGAAGAACGATTCATATTGTGAATCTAGATCCTGCTGCAGAAAACTTTGATTATCCTGTGGCCATTGGTAAATTGCTTATTTTCTTGTTAACTTCTCACAATAATACACACTTTGTAATAATGATTACTAATATGATTGACTGCAGATATTCGGGAACTTATATCTTTGGATGATGTAATGGAGGAATATGGACTTGGTCCAAATGGTGCTCTTATGTTCTGCATGGAGTATCCTTCCCTTGTCTTTTGTTGTGTTTCTTTACTCTTTATCGCTCCACTTCCATAAACACACAAAATTCTTTCATGCACTAATTCCATACAGAAGGCTAAAATTGTCCTTAAATCTCACTCACTAGACATCTTGAAGAAAATTTGGATGAGTGGTTATCTGAAGAACTGGAGAATTACATGGAAGATGATTATCTAGTATTTGATTGCCCAGGTATGACTATAAGTCAATAACATGTTTGCTTTAAGCATGTTATATCTATAAAAGTAAAGTAATTTTCTTGAAAATGATTCGCTTGATAGGTCAAATTGAACTCTTTTCTCATGTTCCTGCTCTTAAGAACTTTGTGGAGCATTTGCAGCGTAAGAATTTCAATGTCTGTGCTGTTTACTTGCTTGACTCCCAGGTTTGTAATTCTATGTCTGTGCAAAAAGACATGAATACCCTCACTTGCTTTATTCAGTTTGCTGATTCTTTTTCTCAACTTATATCAGTTCATCACGGATGTGACCAAGTTTATTAGTGGTTGTATGTCATCACTCTCTGCAATGATTCAGCTTGAACTGCCTCATGTTAACATCCTCTCCAAAATGGACCTTGTTACTAGAAAAAGAGACATTGAAGAGTTAGTTAGCTTCTATTATTACTTATATATACATATGTCCATTTTACATATTGTGATTATGAGTTTATGATTGTGTCTACTTCCAATAGTTATCTGACTCCAGAGCCTACGACTCTGCTGTCTGAACTGAATCAGCGAATGGGCCCTCAATTCCAGAAGCTCAACAAGGCCTTAATTGATTTGGTTAGTTCTAAAACCAGATAGATGATCAATTAAAAACGTTCATGTAAAACTGATAATTGTTATTAATGATATGTTGTATTATATTAGGTTGATGAGTATAGCATGGTGAGCTTTGTGCCTCTTGATTTAAGGAAGGAGAGCAGGTAAAGTGTCGTGACAACTGCATTCAATATGGAGAAAGCGAGTCGGTTTTGGTTGTATTTTTAATATTGGAAATGGTAATTTGTGTTTTTGTTTACAGCATACAGTATGTTCTTTCACAAATAGACAACTGCATTCAATATGGAGAAGATGCTGATGTGAAGATTAAGGATTTTGATGAAGATGAAGATGAAGACTAAAAGTCTTTATATGATGATGTCTCATTTTCCGAAATTTGTCATTACTTTTTTGTGTTGTTTTGGCAATCATTGATGGGATTGTGAAAAATACATATATTTTAATGAGTATTATGATGTCCCATAAGTGTTTATTATGATCCGGTTGTTTCTCAATTAATTTGTACTACTGAGCCATATTCTACTTTAGTACATGTTACAAGGTTTATCCAGAAAACAAACAATAGGCAAAATACGTTTGAAAAATTACAATATTCTAGTAGAGGTAATAAATACATATAAAAAGGGCCACAACATAAGTAGACCAAAAAATTGTTATGTTAGAATTTATTTATTTAATATTTTGCTAAACATCAATTACGGAAGTTTCTAAATTTTATGAGAAATTTAACCGTACATTCTATTACGGTACCACACAATAATAGTGTTGAGATCGGCCTGAAAGCTTTGTTATTAGAATTATGCTAAAAATAAACTTGTTAAATTCTAATCAAAAAAGTTTTGATCAAGCTCAGCAAAAGAATTTAAGTGTAATTTTCAGAGATGAGGAATTTTGCGCAGAAATCAATCAACTTGGTAAAGCCGTTTGCAAATTAATTAAACATAGAAAAAGACGATAGCTTTCATATTCTGCCTACTTGAGAGCTAGACATACCCTGTAAATCCAACAATTGAGAAAGAAAATACTTAAAAAAAACACCTAAGACATTCATAATGTAAACAAAAGAATTCCAACTTCAACAACTAAGAAAAAAAACATAAAATTAAACAAGTCGAACAATCAACCAGTATCCTTTCTGTCTATGGGAGAGATATTCAACAAAAAGCAACAAAATTGAAAGATGATAAAATCTTGTCTTTTTTTTGAAGAATCCAACAAGCAAAAATCTTCACTCGTCATCTTCATCATCGTCATCCTCATCATCAGCCCCAGCAGCAGCATTCAAAGCATTCAACCTCTCGATAAGCTTTTGCTTCCTCTCATCATATGTCAACTTCTTGAGATTGTATCTGAAACAACCAATCAAATATTTTCAACTGTCTAAACCCTAAATCTTTAATACAAAAATAAGCAAAAAAAAAAAACAACTGTGTTACCTCTTGTGCTCCTTGGCAGGCTGCTTATCAGATTTCTTGGGGGTTGGATCAGCACGAATAGCTGCATGCACCTTCTTGTAGACCTCTTCAATGCTGTCTGCTTCAACTCCAGCCTTTATGTATTCAGAAAAGTGTGTCTGATATTTCTCTGGTTCATCTTCTGTCAAAGTCTGCATTCATTCACTCATTCAAACAAAACCATTCATATATGTTCATATCACTTTAAACACAATAAATAAAGACATACATACCCTCATGTAATCAGCAACATGTCCCCCATAAATGTACTTGCGGTGAACATCAGCATCAAGTTGCTTCCCATCCTTGTTGAATCCAGCAAACCTCTTTTCACTGTGAGGGATGTCAATTCCACCATCCAGTGCTCCCTGAAACCATTCTACTTTCAGTTTTGCTAAAAAAAAACAAAATCAGTGGAAGTAGGTTGCTATTTATTTACCTTGAGGGCACCAAAAACACGGTTGCCAGTAGTGGTTCTGATAAGACCAACATCTAAAAGAGCACGGAAAGGCCTTCTGCTTTCTGCAGGTTCCACAGAGTAATCTTCACCAGTGGCCTATAAAAATGCAATCACTTGATTAAAAAAATACATCCATCAGTGATTTAATAATAATTCATCCATGCCACATGACACACACATACCTCAACATTTCCCTCATACTCCTCATCCATCTCAAGTGTTTTCAAAACTCGACGAGCCAACAGAAGCCCAGTACAATAAGCTAAAGACAAAACATAAAAATGAAAAAGGTGAGTCTTTCAACATCACATTAAACATGTCTTTAAAGGAAACACAACAATACCTGCAGCATAGTTTGTAAGTCCAACTTTGAGGCCATAACTAGGGAGTTCATGAGCATAAGCAGATGCAAGAACCATGTCCCCAGCAATGCTAGCGGATACAATTTGTGCAACTATATCTTTGTTGGTCTAATAGCATACTGTTAAGGAAACTCTTAAAAGATACAAACGCCCATCTCAGAAAGGGTCAAAAGATAATTCATCAAAAAAGGGAAATGAAAGGATACAAATCGCACAACATAACGATATTTAGGCGTGTTGTATTTGTTTTTGTCCTGATTAATCAAACGTATCCTTGCACGATAATCAGTTTTGCCCTCTGCAACGATAAATGGGAGTAAAAAAAACAGTGCAGCAATGAAACATGAGATATGACAAACAATAACAGACATATCCATACCTCTCCTTCGCTTGAATTTGACTTGAAACCTCTTGAAGTAAGATCTAGACTTCTGTGCGACGAAAACCTTGACAAATAAAACCACAAGCAATGAAACTGTTAATGGATATTACAAACATCAAATTTTAGAGTTCAAACGAAGATATACACATAACATATAAACATAACATGATTTGTTTACGAAATTGATCGATAAACAGATCAACAATGATATAGCATAAGAAAACACATTTTTCATACGTAAAATATTGAAAATATAAACAATAACTTAGGCATCAAAACAACACAGTCTATGAAAGAGCTATGTGTTTAAATGAGTTCAGGTAAGTTAACAAAAGACCCTAACAACAACAAAACATCAAAACAACGATTTGATTGTCGACATGCGTGATTTGAATCAGAAATGGGAACTGTGAGGCTTTACCATGGCCGATTTTTGGTCTGTCTGCGGGTTGCGCAGGGAGGGAGGGAGAAAGAGAATTACAGGCTCAGTGGAGGAGAATTAAGGCGTCCAGATATCAAAAACCCTAAAGACGAAAGAGAACTGAAATCGACGGCTGGGATTGCTTTTTGTATCGCATTCCATCTTAGGGCTTTTGTTAATATGAAGAGAGTGTCGATGCATACCTTGGATTGTTGTTGAGTGTCACATACAGTCCTTGAACTTTGATTTTTGATTCTTTTATAAGTAGGGTTATTTGCAAATAACCCAACAGACTTGCATCATTTTATTAACTCTATCGGCTAATTTCGTCGAAATCAATCGATACTTTGATTAACCCGACTAAACCGTTCTTAATTTTGGTAGATCAGGTCAGATAAATTCTATTTAAAATTTCATGTATGTGTAAAAAAATAGACAAAAATTGCAAAAATGATCCTATGATATGTTGAAATTTATCACTTTAGCACCGATGATGCAAAAAATTTCCTTTTATTGCGAGTTTTGGTCCTTTTTGGTTTGTTTTTTATAAAATTATGAATTTGCCTTTTTCTTTTTTTTCAATTACATAACTAAAAAAATGCTCTCTCTCTCTCTCTCTCTCTCTCTCTCTCTCTCTCTCTCTCTCTCTATATATATATATATATATATATATATATATATATATATATATATATATAATATATATATATATATATATACTATAAAAGATTGAGGCCCGTGCTAAGCACGACACACATAAGGTAATTTGGGTATTCCTTCACTATTATGTAAAGTATATTGTTTTGATAACAAAAATAGTGAAAGCACAATGTTATAAATGGGTAGATTTTCAAGTTATAATGCATAAATAAGAAAAAGAAAATGAAACTATATTGTTATAATCCCATGCTCATGAAGGGCAATTTGGCTATTTTCAAAAATTAGGGTACAAGGTTATCATCAGAAGGATTCTTTAAAATACAACATTCCAAAACACAAGGATGAAACTACAGAGTTCTAATATGAATATTGGGTTATACATTTCTAGGTAGTGTTTCTCTTTTATGTGATATATGGTCTGTAATAAAGGGTTGTGTTTGTTGCCCATACATTTTTTAGTTAACTTATACCATCTAGTATGGTCTCAAGTTGAAGATGCATTATAGACTTAGACTTATATTGGACAAATCCTAATGGCTTTACAATGTTAAAAGACCTGATTGTCTCACAAATATTTCTATACAAATATGGAACTCAAATATGGTGGGATCTCTAAAAATCTCAAAATCTTTAACCTCTAAAGTTATGATTCACAGTCAACACAATCTTCAAAATTCATCAAATGCATCTTAGCTATCTGATCAGTGAAATTCATACAATTTCTAGAAGTCGAGTGGTATTTTGGACAGTCTACAATTTACGATGCTATTTTAGCCACTGTCATCAAATTACAGTGTTATTTTGGCCAAAAAATTCTTCCCAACCATAATGGTTTGTTCTTGTTATGGTTAGTTGTCACTCATACATAGGTAATGTTAAGAGATGTACTTCAAGGCTTGCTCTTATCCTCCTGCTGTACACCTAAAAAATGGTTGGACAAAGCCTAAATTCTCGAGTTGTCATCACTACCGTTAAAGAAAATTATATGTTAATGCAATGTAAATCACAACTTATTTTTGTTTACAAAAAATTGATCACTTGAAAAAAATAAATTATGCAAAGTAAATAAATGATGCATATATAAATTATTTCAACTTTTCAGAATGCATGATTATAAGAATTAGACATTCTCTTCTCTTTATAAAAAAAAGACATTCTTTCACCATCTTTCACAAATATGAAAGGAAAAAAGTAGTTATAATATTTGTTCTTGTGTTAAGCATTTCGTCAAAATACAATCTGCAATACATGCTCAGAACACTAAAATGGCTTTGTAGTACAACAAATTAATCTAAAAAAAAAAGCACCACTATTGAGTATGATATTTAGTTTCTTTTCTGCTAATAACTTTTATAAGTAAAAACATAACAACTAGGGAATGACAAACATACCATTATGTATCTACAATTCTCTCATGATTTTATTTTGTGTGGATTAATTTTATGCCCTCCTATTTAGGATGGTAGAAAAGGTGTCCTATATATAGATTTCCTGCTCCTATATATAGATTTCCTACTCGTTTTTCAACTTCAGCTCAAGCGTTTTGAATATGATTTCATGAGGGATACAATGTTAAAAGTAAGATGTACTAAAACCTATTTCATTATGCATATAAATTAACAATATGAAAATATCCATGAAACAAATAAAATACCTAAGAAACTTGAAAGTGAATCCGAAAGCGAAGGTGGTAGCTTTTATGATTTGAAAAATCCACCCACTTTTAGCAATCAATATTGCTTTCTATTTGAATGGCGTTATTATGACCAAATAGATTTGTCAACAAATGGAAGTAGGGTGCTATAATAGGTATATCATGGAAGTAGGTTGCTATTTGTTGTAGCTAATCCAAAATAGAAAACTTGACTGCACCTCAAGTAAATCATGTAGACTGTAAAGTCACATCTTCTGTCACTTGTTCAAGAGGTGGTTGATCAAAGCTACATAGCTTCAACAGAAGAGTGAACTCGTTTAAGACCATCATAAGGGTATAAATGTCGTCCAGTTGAAAGTTTTCAATAAATTGTACGCGAACATGATCCAGATACCTCACATGTGGGTTTCAATACATCAAAAAGAGTAGGGCCTGGAAAAATAACATATCGGCATTAACTTAAGAGAAAATTGCAAGGAACGACAACATACTGCCTGAAATACAATAATCATGGTTGCAGAAATCGGGATTAATCGTGGATTAATCGCTTGGCGTTCTCCAACCGTCGAGGATTAGGGCATTAATCGAAAATTTAGGATTAATCGGGTTTGGCGGGATTAATCGGTCAACAAAAGTCAAAAAAGTTAAAAAAAGGTCAAAAAATTTAAATTTAAAAAAAAAAAATCAAAAAACCAACTTTCTTTTTTTACTCCAAAATTTTCAAATTTTCAAAATTTCAAATATTATACCAAAATGTTCATATTTTCGTATTTTCACATTTCCAAATTACAATTTTTATTATTTTCTAATTTTGAAGTACTTGTTTTTTCTTAAGATATATTAATATTTAATTAATTTTAATATTTTATTAATAATCTATGGTCCCCGATTAATCCCCACCAAGACCGATTAATCCATTAACACGAGTCGACCGTCGAGCTATCGATCTTTACAACCTTGACAATAATTGACCATTTTAACCTTCTGTCTATATGCATCATATAAGTTATCTCTATCGAGAGTAAGTGATGTATGAACAAAGACTTTCTTTTTTGTAATGATAAGAATATATGCATCCTGTAATATACACATCCACACAAAAGAGTCAAGGCATTTTTCTTTTTTTCCCATTTTGTAATATGCATCATAAGCGTTGTGTGATCAATGAAAATGTCAACAAATGATCATATACCCTTCTATACTTTCAAAGCAGAATGCATTTGAGAATGTACCGTTTCCATTATATTTTAAAATAAAGAAAAACAGAAAAAGGAAAAACAATTAAGTTTGTTACTGCGTACGACAACAGACATAAAAAGCACGATCAAAGATCATTATGAGATCTTTGTTTGAATTGTTTTCACATATAACTTCCTGACAGATAATTCATCCATCACGTTCTGCAACTCTTACCACATCGAGATACACCTAATCAGGAAAAACAAAGTACAATATATAAGCAAGTGCATACTTTTTTTAAGCATTTCAAGAACATAGAAAAAGGATACCACCAACAAACTTAGAAAATTTACACCCGCTGTGATCATCATATCACTCTATATAGCCTCTTAACTTCTTATCATAATATTATTATCATTGGTAAAAAAAAATGGAACATGATATGCTTTGATGGGTAAAAAAAGTAAGTGTATTACCTATAATGGTAAAAATAATAAAGTAAATTGCTATTTTATGGAATTTACCCATAAGATTAAAACAAAAAAAATTTACCTCTTCGAACTCCCATCTTCTTAATCCATCTCCGTTGCACTTGCCCAATCTCTTAAAAGACATGTAGACCATTCGTCAAAGGATGCTACATTGTATTTTTTAAATAATAAAGCCCAAGTTCGTACACTTTGTACCTTTTTTTTTGTAAGAACCCAAAACCTAAGAGATATTAAAATTTCAGTTATGTCCATTAGAAAATAATTAACTATAAAAAGTCCTATAGTTTGGTACCTCAATCTTCCATTATCATACTTACTGCATCTTAGTGATTCAATGTAATACATGCATATCTAATCAAAAAGCATAGGGAAACTTTAAATGAAAAATACTAACAATGCAAGATACTACATAAAAAACATAAATATATGAAAGAAAATCTAACAAGGTCCATTCAACCAATGTAAACTATGACTTTTTATGGTTCCCATGCTATCATGAAACTCCATTCAGTAGGGGTGTGTAAAAAAACCGCAAAACCAAAAAACCGAGCCGATCCGATCAATCCGAAACCGAAAAAAAACCGAAACCGAATTAAACCGAAATAAAAAAAAAATGAAACCGAAAAAACCGTCTATCTATGGGTCGGTTTCGGTTTGAACATTTAGGTATTCGCGGATAGTCGAACCGAACCGTTATATATATATATATATATATATATATATATATATATATATATATATATATTATTAATATAGAAATATTAATAATACAGAGAGTGAACCATCCACAAGCAATAAATCAATAAATAACAAAGGTAAATATTATTAATATAGAAATAAAACATAATAAAAATATTTCCTGTTTCCAGTTTGCACTTCACCGTATGTAATCGTTTTGCATGGCTAGATTAGTTGACAAATTTTTTTATCAAGAAACATGATACGGCCGACCATGGGAAATTTCCAGTTTGCACTTCTATATATTCATCATGTTTCTTGTTATTTTCATTATTATAGTTATTATATAGATTATAATTAATGTTATTTGAACGTCATCATCATTTTTGAATCACTTGCTTACTTATTTTCATAAAGAAATTATCGAAATAAAGTTTGTAGTTAGGATTAAATTTGACGTGCATATTTAGCGGGTATC